TTTTTTTTTTTTTTTTTTTTTTTTAGGAAAAAGAAGGAATTAAAATTCATGAGATTTGTTTTTGTTTTCCATCCACCCTGTTTGTGCTACTGCTATCTCTGGGGAAGCCACTTCAGCTTTGTGGGCAGATTCCTGTGATTATCTCTGTAATTCTAATGGCGAAACTGCCCGCAGGGGAATTTATAGCTCTCCAGAGGGGCCTTGCATCCAGTTCATGATCTAAATTTGAGCCTGTATCTGCCTGCCTGATACCATTGTAGTTTGCTTAGTGCTGGCGAGGCTCTCCTTTCCTGAAGTTGCATACTTTCTTTGCAACCTCTCCTTCCCCCAGCTGCTGTCCTGTTCTCTTTCTGGCTGTGCTGTCTGCAGTGGGCCACCTTTGTGTGTTTTCTGCCAGTTGCCTGCACATAGACTTTCTTGGCTGATTCACATGTGCATTTCAGTCGGTGCTCTTTAGGAAGAGCTCCCGCTTTGGAACTTGGTTATCTTTGTGACATTAGCCTTGTCCTTTTGGGCCACCCATTATTTGGGATTTGTTAAAATCAAGCAGTATTCCGAGCACTCAAGAGTATAGTGGGAAACAAGAAAAACAGAATTAAGACCTATTAGTGGGTACAGATAGTACTGCAAAGAATGGAGGAAAATGTCATTAAATTATATGAAAAACAATAAAGCTGGAGGTCAGGGTAGAGCCTGAACAGGAGGGACACCGTTTGGAAAGAATAGACAGGGACAGCCTGACTGCAGAGGTGATACTTGGCCTGCATTCGGAGTGGATAACACTGGTCATTTAAGGACTGACGGAAGGGAGTGTGTGTGGGATGAGATAGGAATGGGCAGGTGGACAGCAGTCAGGTAGTGGAGCTGTCAAATGCCAGCTTTTCATTTGCTGGGCCATTTGGGACTTGTTTACCAAGTACTGAATCTGGCCAAGTGTCTTTCATTGGCATGAGGTCTGTCGCTTCCTGTGCAGACCAAGTACTATCAGCTTGTTGAATGATGTCAGAAGAAACATTTCTTACTCAAAAACAAGATTTTTAATGTGTAGGTGACATCTGTTTTGCTATTTTGACAACATAGGCTTGCTTCGCTTCCCTTGTGAGTCAAGATTACGTCAATGGCACGGATCAGGAAGAAATTCGAACTGGTAAGAATTCTTCCTGCCTTCAGCAAGATTGCTTCTTGCTTATTTTATACCTGACAGGTTTCAGTCCTGCATGTATCCTAAGAGACCGTTTCTGGGGAATAAGATACTTGCATATTATCCCTATGAACCACTGGGTCTTTATTCAGCTTATTAACTGACATGGGTCGCTTATAATGAACCATTTATAATGTTTTTGTATTGGTATTAGGTAAAGAAGACCTAACAGTGTGAACTGCTTTTTAAAATACCCAAAAGTTGTAATTATATTTTGAACAAATGTTGTAAAGAAAAGTCTGTTAGGTTTCTGTCATTTCCTGTGTTCCGTCTCCTGAGAAGCCAATGTTTCTGATTTCTTTTTACCATATTTTAAATCTTCCATTCTAACTGGAAATCATAATGCTCATTTCTGAATCTCTGGATTGTCTTTCTTTAGAAAACTTCATAGCTTTCATGTTGCGTAAGGTCTGTTTCTCACCTGATAAAAGCACAGGCTATCTGCTATTTAGTGTTCACTAATAAACAGAAAATGAACAGTCATAATTATTGTGTGGCCAAAATTAAAATTCTAGATTATATCTGAGACAGTGCTGTTTCTATATTTTAACTATTCATTTGTGTAATATATACATATGCCTAGTGTTGTTCTGAATTTAATTTTTGATCTTTTTTTTTCCCAAAGGTGTTGATCAGTGTATCCAGAAGTTTCTGGATATTGCAAGGCAGACAGAATGTTTTTTCCTACAAAAAAGATTGCAGTTGTCTGTCCAGAAACCAGAGCAAGTTATCAAAGAGGTAAGTACTCGTTTTTTTTCCTCAACTTTAGGAGGAGCAAATATTGTCAGGATTTCATTTATGCCTTAAATGAGGTATACCCATTTCCAATTAAGGAGTTACAGGGGTGTTTTATAGATAAGCATGAAATGCTGCTGATTGTGTCTGTGAGAAGGGGAGCCGGGGGAGCCAGGGGTCGGGACGTAAGGCCAAGCTGCTTGTGTCACACACCAGCTGTCAAAGAAACTCTGTCTAAGAGGGGATTCTGCCTTATGGAAAAGGTTGAAAAGCCATTAAGGGAGGTGAAAGCTCATTGGAACAGAAGCTGTGATCTGTGTCCTCAGTGCCTTCCTTGCAGTAACACATCTATTCAGTGTTCAAAAAATGAGAAAATAAATGTTCTGACCAAGGCTCCTTCAGACTCAGAATCTCCTTGGTCTGCAATCCTAACCTGGGCATTTAGAAGTGTGTTGGCATTGCCCCAAGTCCTGGGAAGCTTTTTTGTTTGTTTGTTTCTGTTTTGTTTTTTGAGACTGGGTCTCACTTATGTAGTGAGACTGACCTGGGACTCACTTGTGTAGCCCAGGCTGGTCTCGAACTCACAGTGATCCTCCTGCCTCAGCCTCCCAAGTGCTGAGATTACAGGCATGCACCACCATGCCCAGCTCTGGGAGGCTTTAATACTGTGAGTGGATCAGGTGAGGAGCTGCCACCTTAATGTAGAAGAGGATTCTTTTCATGGCATGACCAGTGCTGCTGCCAGTGAGAAAGCCCGCATCGAGATTAGCCATTAGGGCAGTGTTTGAAGGGCCACCTCCCAAAAGAGGACCAGTTAATCAAAAAGTTCTTTTCTTCCATGATACCAGCTGTGGAGGTGGTGAGTGTAAGAAGAGAAGATGAGCTTCTTGCAGGCTACGTGTCAGGTCATTCCCTGATATAAATACTTGAATAACCGTCCAGGTGTAGCTGCGGCCAGGTTTCAGAAAGGATTAAGTGTTGGTATCATAAGCTCTTGATAATGTAGTTTTAACCTTTCATAATCTGAAACTGCAGAGCAGTGATGTAGATTCTTCCAAGTCTTGCAGATTCTCAGTGTTTTTTGTTATGAGCAGTGGTTTTTGGACAGAGGTAGCTGGTGGCTGAGGATCACAATGAGAAAGTGATTGATTTCTTTTTCGTTGTCTTTGGGTGCTTTTTGAATTTTCGGACTTGTATAATTAGTTATTAAAGGGAAAATAATTAAAAATGCTCTCGCTGTTAGGCAGACCTCTGCCATTGGAGTAGTTGCTTTGGATTATTCAGATAGTGGATCCAAGCGAATGATGGGCTTAGTTTAGTTTCACGTATTCTCTTGGTTTTGAGTTTACTTCTTAGTGCTCTTAACTCATGAGCAACTCTGTGCTTTTTTGCTAATTTGCCCCTGACATAGTCCGTCACTTTCATCTGTAGGACGTCTCAGAACTGAGGAATGAATTGCAGCGGAAAGATGCGCTGGTGCAGAAGCATTTGACAAAGCTGAGGCATTGGCAGCAGGTGCTGGAGGACATCAACGTGCAGCACAAAAAGCCCGCGGAAATCCCTCAGGGCTCCTTGGCCTACCTGGAGCAGGCCTCGGCCAATATCCCTGCGCCTCTGAAGCAGACGTGAGAGAGCCCTGGCCTGTGGTGGCTCAGCGGACAGCTTTGCCGAACGTCCCCTTTGTGGACACAGCATCCGGGAAGAACTTTCCTGGACAAGGAGATGACGTGGGTTCTATGGTCCCAGGTACAGTTCCCCCCTTATTCTTATGAGCTGTTAATTTGTTTAATTACAAAATGCCTGTAGCTTTGGTAGACCAAGTTAATGTTTTTTTGTCTTCAGCCCAGTTAGACTCAGTATGATGACTCCATTTCTATTCTCTCTTGTATTTTATTTTTATTTTTGTATTACTTCATTTTTGTGTTTCTATTTCTTCGATTGTTATGATGTGAGGGGGAAAAATTACAGTAGTCTGAGAAGGAGGCAATAAGGAGTTTGTAGACCTTTTATGGTAACTACCCCGCTGTGGTAGTGTAGAATAATATTTAAATTTGCCCTTTTCAGACTTTGAACTACCTCAAGAACAGGAATCTAATGCAATGATATTTGTAACGTTCTATAGCAGTGCAGTGTGTAAACATTTAATATTTTGTAACTTGGCCAGAAAAAGAGTGAGAACTGCTAGGTTAGCGCGGTAATATTTCAATAGGGTCCTTCAGTCGATGGTGGCTTTTGTTTGGGTTGGTTTATTTTGAGGAGGATGTAGTAGGAGGGTGACTTTCAGAAGATTGCCAATGCCCTCCAGGAATGAGTCGGTATCAGGAGTAGGGGACCCTGTGTCAGTGTGACAGGCGCAGTGGAGTGTGAGGAGTGAAAGCTTCCTCCAGTCTCTCTGAGTTTTGTTTGCTTGTGTTGTTTTGTTTTACTTCTTTGGAACAGAAAGTTTCCGTTAAAGAAAAGTTTCTTGCTGGTGGTTTTGATTCCTGGGGACACAGCGGGCGGGGGTGGTGGGGGGCCTGGGTTGGAGCCTCAGGCTGCAGAGTGAGCTCACCGCTCCCCGCCCTGGTGCGCTGGTGGAGCCTCAGTGGCAGGGAAGGCGCAGTGCCTTCTTGCTGGACGAGGTTTTTCCTCTCTGTCCTTCACACAGTCTCTTGCAGGACACCTGCACTCCCTTCTGAGTAGTCCACATGGCTGCTGCACAGGGACTTGACTCTTGTTGTCCTCTCCACTCTCCACCCAACACTGTCATCCGCTCACGCTCCTGCCCCACAGCCTCCTGTGCCCTGTGCCTGGAGGCTCTTCTTTTGTGTTAATGACTTGTGTCTCCCTTTGCCTCTTGCTGCGTTGTAGATTAGGCTGAGATTAGGCGTTCTGCCCCTTGGATGTGCATCCTCCGGTATTAAGTCATCTTTCATACGTGATGGTTGCTGCTGTCTTTGCCTGTGTGCAGGCTGTTCATGCTGCCTGAGCCCAGCACATGGCCTCCATTTCAAGGTGTCAGGTTAAACGGAGCTCTCACAGCACAGGGTTGGTTATCCCACGCTCTGATGACAGCTTTAAATTCCTTGATTAAAATCCTAAGTACACTGGTTAAATTTGGGGCATTCTTTCACTAATCAAGGTGTGCCAAGATGGGAGCTGGGCACGCCTCTAATCCCAGCAATCTGGGAGAGTGAGGCAAGAGGCCTGCAAGTTTGAGTCCGCTTGGGCAACTTAGTGACTTAATGAGGCCCTATTTAAAAAATAAAAAGGTCCAATGGTATGGTTTACAGCAAAGGCCCTGGTACCATTAAGGGGGGCGGCGGGGAAGCACGATTGGAAACTGGGGCACAGTGGTGTATGTATGTCCAGGACTGCAGATTCAAGGCCAGCCTGGGCAACTTAGCAGGACCCCGTCTCAAAAAAGTGCTGAACGTGTAGCTCAGTGGTCAAATGCCCCTGGGCTTCATCCCTGGTACTGAAAGGGCGTTAAAAATAAAAAGGAAACTGTTGTGCTTGGTGCTCGTAAAAAGTATGTTGAATTATATATATATGTTATTGCCATTTCTTTATTCAGTTGAAACTTACATGTAAAATAAATAAAAATTTTGCAGTCTTGTCAGTTTGTAAATATCTTGTTATTCTTAAATGACATCTTGTCCATGAACATAGAAGACTCACCGAGTCGCCGTGTCCAGGGGGAATCACCATCTCTCCATCCTCTGGGACTTCCCACCTTCCACCTGCCACCCCACCTTCCCTGTGTAAGACCTGTGTTGTGGCCCCAGTGGCCTCTCCAGGCCTTAATCCCTGAGGTGCTTTCTTCCCCTTGCATCCTGTGAGTCTCCGTCACCACACAGCTCCTCTCCCACCTCGATGTTTCTCTGACCTTGAGCTGCCCTCCCATTGGCGGGAACCCTGTCACTGTCCCTAGTGCCTCCACCTCCCTCCCACACCTGTTCTGCTTCCTCTCCCCTTTTATCTTACACTAGAACATTTCCCCCTGGGGCAGGGAGTGTTGCAGTAACCCTAACCGTGACACCCAATAACTGGCCTAACACTGGCCACATTATTCTATTGGCCAGAAACAGTCTGGGGATTCCAGCCTCACACAGCTGTTTTGGGTCTGTGAGAAAGTAAGACCAGAAAATCACTTTATAATGTAGGGTTAGAGTTATGCCCCCAAATCCACAATTTTGAGCACAGATATGACCTGCAATTGAGTGATTCCACACTTGCTGGGTTACAGTCAAAATGAAGGTGCATCAAAAATCTATGAAATTTGTCTGCAGGCTGTGTGTTTAAGGGATATACAAAACATAAGTGACATTCATGTTTAAACTTGGGTCTCATCACCAAGAAATCTTACGTATGTACAAGTATTCTAAAATTTGTAAAAAATAGACTTTTGTTTTTGGTGCTCGGGATTAAACTCAGGGCCTTACTAAGCTACATTTTCAGCCTCTGAAAAAAACCCAACACCTACAGTATTCCGGTTCCAAGCACTTTATATAAGGGACAGTCAGCCTGTACCTATAGTAGTGGGATTGTGAGGTGATGAAGCCCTGAGGCTTCCACTTATAAAAGAGGATCACGCAAGCTCCTTTGCTCCTGCCCTGAGGTACCTTCACAGGTGCCTTCTGTGAGGAATGGATCTCACCAAACATTCAAATCCACTGGCATCCTGATCTTGGACTTCTCAGCCTCCAGGGCAATAAACTGTTTTTTCATAAATTAGCCTAAGATATTTTGTTAGAGCAGTCTAAATACACTATATTGTTTCATTATAGAAACAGTGTACAGCAGACCCTTGACTTAGCAACTCGATTTGTTCACAAGGGCTGGTTGTAATTCAAGTTGGTTAATTGAAGGCTCAGGGTCCTTTACACAGCCTTCAAAGTCTCCTGTATACAGGCAGGTTTCAGTGTCCTTAGAGAGACATTGTCCAGGATTTCTCAACCCTGTAGGAAAAGATGTTGTGATGTTCCTTCCAGAACTCTTTAAGGGTTAAATCTGTATCTGAGACCATCTGGAAGCACAAGCAGGCAGCATTTGGGTTGTAACTCAAGACTTTGGTCTTAAAACTGAAATTCCAGTTGTGACCCAAATTTGTGTCAGGCCAGTCATAACTTGAGAGTCTACTGTACCGTCTCAATGTTGTATAGTGTTGTTTTAGACCTTCACAGAGTTCATTGGCACATGTGCATTATCCCAGTATGTGGGAAGCGGAGGCAGGAAGAATTGAGCCCAGAGATTTGAGTATACCTTGGACAAGACAAAAAAAAACAAAAACAAAAAACCACTCACCCGTAAGCAAAAAACACAAAAATTTGATACTGAAGACTATTTTGGCATGTTACAGCTATGACAAGTAGAGGCATTTTAAAAATTATACTAGGGCTGAGGATATAATGCTTCCCTAGCATGTACAAGGCTCTGGGGATTGAACCCACCACAAAAAAAGAAAAAAAATTCTAACTGACATTTTATTTAGATAGATTTGCCCTTAACTTGTGGATTTCAGTTTTAGTTGCATTTCTTGAAATGATATAATCTACTCTTTACTTATAGATGATCTGACAAATTTAACATGAACTTTCTTCTTCCAAATTCTGTCTTCATCTAACTTTACCTTTGGGTGGAAAAGCAATTCAAGTTACTACCATTTTTATTGCCCAGATGTATAACATTTTATTAAAAGAGCAAAGATTTGACAGTGCATAGAATTAACATCTGTTTGGGGGCCCCTTGCTGGGCCAGCACCAAAGGCCTGAAAAGCTATTTCGCCTGTTCCAGGTTGTACTTGGTCTTGTCAAATCGCATTGCTCTGGCAGAGGGTGAGACAGTTCTGTGTGGGTGGGGAGTACAAGGTCAGCACCATGAGCAGCCATTCCCGGTTCCCCGTGAACCTACCGAGAGTCCATGCAGTGCGGAAGCAACACATCGAGAGGCAAATGACCCAAACCCAAGACCACAGACAGGGTCGGTGGAGCAGTAACTCGGAGAACAGATCGTCTAGAATCCATCATCACAGATGACCAACTTGACAGTCACTGAAACGGGTGTGGGACAGGACGCAGCGCAGTCCCTTGGGAGGTAGGTGTTTTCCTGCTTAGAATCTACCTGTCCCGGACCTGGGGAGCCCAAGCATTCAACCGGGGCACACAGCGCAGCGGTCTGCTCCTGGGAGGTTTGGGTTTTTGTTTTTGAAACTGGCCTTCCTGTTGATAATGAACTTTATCTTATTTCTTCTCCTACTGAGGTTAGGTGTGCATTTAGAAATAACATCATTTTACACAGAAACAGTTTTTCAAACGGAGATGACTTGGGTCATAAGGAATAATGAAACCACATTTAAAGTAAGCCGAGGAAATCACAAAGTCTGATGTCCCATTAAGTGGAGTACGATGTTATGGACCTAGAAATACAGTGTGCACATCATCAGCACTTACTGGTAACATTGTCCTGTGGGTGCTTTCTAATAACACTGGTTTGTTTTATCTTTGATATCAAGAATGTTTTAACAGACTGGCAGCGACACAATGAAACGGTACGAAATGGTAAAGCCCACATTTGTCTTAGCGATCTTATAGAAATCACAGGACAAGCAGGTTATTCGGTTGGTTGCAGTCCATTCCTTCCGTGTTTTCTGATGTCCTCTTTGTGATGTATCCCAGAGATCGGTTTAGAAGGAAAAGTACTTGGTGAACCACTCCTGGTGTGGGGAGCCCTGCTTCTGTGGGGCTTCTTTGGGTGGGGCTGTTTCACCATCCTGTGTCCTAAAAACAAACAAAAGAAAGTTTCTTACACGGTTTCAGAAATTATCCAGTGAACAACATAACAGTGCATCATCTTTCCAGGGAAACAGAGCTGCTCATTAGTCATCAGTAGCTGGGAGCAACCACATGGGTGGGAAGGGTGAGGCCTCTTCCTGTTTCAAAAGCAGAAGTTTCTCCATTGTTTGGCTCCCCCTTGTTTCATTTAGGACGCAGTGTTCACTATAATGAAGCCTATGTTGCAGCATTTATTATTTATTTCAGGCACAGCGCAAATGAGATAATAAGCCCAATATTAAAAGGAAAAAAAAGGTCAATCCACACAGCATTACACTATGCTAGGTCTTCAGTAATCTAAGGGGTCTTATCCTAGCTGAGGCTATGCGGTCAGCCTGAAAGTTGAAAAGGAGAAACAGCCAGGTGGAAGATCTTCATCAGCGTTTGTGAAGCTGGGCCTAAAACACCTAAATAGCTTTCAACTGAGGTGCACAGTGACGAGCAGCTGGCTCTGCTGGTTCACAGAGGGTTTGCCTGGGGCTCCAGCCTCGGCTTCCACGGTTGAAAGAGAAGGGCAGGCTGGCAGGGCCGGTGAGGGGGTCCTTCCGGCTCCACCCTTGGCCCCTGCATCCCCACCGACCCCAGCAGGCAAGAGCAGTGGGCAGGGCCTCTGACTGGACTAAGGTGAGAAAGAAGTAATGAGGCAGAAAGGAGACAAGGAAGTTGTCATTTTAAACTTGTGCTTTTAAGAAAACTAGCTTCAGGCCAGGGATTGAGCTCAAGGGTACTGCCGCCTGCCTTGCAAGGGCAAGGACCCCAGTTGATCCCTGCTACAAAAAAGAACGAAAGAAGGGGTTGGGGAGGGAGAGAGAGAAACTGAAGCTTCAGGCCAGGCTTGATAACACACACCTGTGAGGCTGAGGCCAGGGGACTGAAAGTTTGAGTCCAGCCTGGCCAATTTGGCAAGAGCTCTCAAAATTTAAAAATGAGGGCCGGGGATTTGGCTCAGTGGTTTGGTGGCCTGCCTTGCAAGCTCAAAGACCCGAGTTCAATCCCTGGTACCAAAAAAAAGAAAAGAGAAAAGAAAAGGTCTTAAGATTGAGCTCTGTGTGAAGGCCCTGTGCTTTAATCCAGTACTTGAGGGAGAGGGGGAGGGAGACAGACAAGAAGGAGAAGAAAAAAAGAAAACTGCACCTTCACGACAGTTACCAAAAGTTGTGATGCCCTTTTTACCCTGAGCCTGGTTTTTTGGTTTTTTTTTGTTTTTTGTTTTCAAGGCTTCTAAATTCCTAGGGCCCTTAAAGGTACAATGTCTGTTTTTTATTTCAGTACTATAACTTCACAAGTTTCACAGATTTCTATTAGGAAACAACACTTAATTGATATCACATCTCTAGACTTCAAATACATGCCGACGGTTTGCATTTTACCCCAGCCCACTAGTGGGTAACCTAGCAGACACATCCTAGATCAGGGTGGCGAATCCATGGCACACGTGCTGCAGTGGGCTTTTTGTTACCTTTGAAAGTTCTGAAAGGTTCGCCATCACTGTCTGAGGTCATACCCAGATGCACGTACTGGACCATTGTCTGGAGGAGGCCCCCACAAGCACATCGTGCCCCCAGCCAAGTGTGTGCCCTCCGTTCTGCATGTGGCTTTTGTGATTCTGCCTATACTGCTCACTGCCCAGTTCTGCAGTTTTTCCCCACAAAGAGCCGAGAGCCCGCTACGGGGCCAGCGAGGTCCCCATCTCCATTTGGGGGGGCCTCCTTGGACCTCATCTGGTGACAGGTCTATTTTATTTATTTTTTCTCATTGAGTTTATTGGTACTTTTAAAGTATACAGTACAGTTACATTCATCATTGAGATCTTGTACCTTTATATGACAGGTCTTGGTTCTCATTTTTTCCCCTTACCCCTGCCCTCCCTTCACCCCCTCCACCCTCTCCTATTTACAAAGACTTTGTTTCCATTTTTTCCTTTTCTCATATTTTTTTCTTTTCCCTTATTTCCTTTCCCCTACCCTTCCCACTTCCCCTACACCTTTAGCCATTTTCTTCCTGTTTCACATTATCAGTTATATAATTTGGATCTTACACTTTTAGTTTTTCACAGCAGAGAAACTATTTGATATTTCCACATGTGTCCTGTTTATTTCACTTACAATTATGGCCTCATGTATCCTTTTTCCTATGAAAGACTCTAGTTTCTCATTCTTTATGGCTGAGTAGTACTCCATTTTATAGAAAAACCACATTGAAGCCCAGAATTTAAAACATGCCCTGAGAATGGAAGACTGGATAGGAAGGAGAATTAATTAATAAAAACATCACAAGGCTGGAAGAGAAGCATCTGCAAGCTGTACATGCAACCAAACTCACAGATTAGAATGCCTTAAAATTCCAAACTAATACAAGAAATCCCGAGAAAAATCTTAATGTTGAAACTGTATGGAACACTTCTGTGCAGAGTCCTGTACGAAGCACGGCCTGTGGATTAATTCCCTCACTCCCCCGTCAGCCTGACGGAGGTGCTGTTATCTTCATTTTCCAGGGGAGACACAGACTGTAAGGGGCCAAGTGACCCGCTGAGGCCACACAGATGTGAAAGAAGAGGCCAGGTTTTAACACAGACCTCAAGGCCAGGAGAGGAGTCCGCCTCCTCTGTGACCTAAGTCTTGCTGTTTGTCTAGACTGTCGCTTGGTCAGAGCAGGGCTTGTTTTTGGCTACTTTTTATATCCGCCCAAATGCCATTTTGCAAGTGCCTGGAAGGACCCCAGTTGTTCCCTGTCCGAGGAGGAGTGGAGTAACAGTGTCCAACCCCTACCTTGTGGCAGTTTTCGAGTCCAGAGATGGGGAGGGTTTGTAAGGCCGGCCACAGCTGGGGCTTGGGTCCAAGCTGGGTGACTTTGTGATGGGAGGGGCGTTGATTCTGGAGCTCAGGTCTCCGCTCAGGAAGTTCTTGGCGTAGGAGGCGAGGTTGGGTACACTCACCACTCGGCTGGGCACCTCCTCCATCTTCTTTTTCTGTTTGTGTCACAGGAAGTTTTGTTAGTGCTACCAGAAGCAAGCGTATTGTAAAAGTCAGTAAGTCTCTCCCAAACCAAACGGTATGGGAAAAGAGGTGATGATTTTATCGATATACTGACATGTTATTTTTAAACGTTTTTCATACATTTTTGTTGGTGGGGTTGGGAATCAAACCTAGGACCTCAAGCATGCTAGGCAAGGGCTCTGTCTATTCGCTCTACCCCTGGCCCTTTAAATCATTTTTTTCTCCAATATTTATTTTGTTTTATTTGAAAAATACATAAATCTACCCACAATATCTTTTCTAAAACTTGTGTGGAAAGTCATGTTTTGTACTTTAAATTTTCTAGGGTTTTCAAGGCCAGGTAATTCTAAACTGGACTGGGACCACCCTGTCTTCAAGTGCATTAGTATTTCTGGAGTAAAACTTACATGTTGTCACACTAAGAGGAATATAATAAAAGAGAGCTCATCAGTTCAGGTCAGTTTAGTTTTTTAGTTTGTTTTTTTTTTTTGGTCCTTTGGGCTATAAAAATACTAACTTGTATTAAAATCTTGTTACAGGGCTGGGGATTTAGCTCAGCGGTTTGGTGGCCTGCCTTGCAAGCACAAAGACCCGAGTTCAATCCCCGGTACCCGCCCCAAAAAATAAATAAATAAAAATTTGTTGCATAAATAAGATATTCGTTATAAATTCCCCCAAATACCGCAGAGAAATACATTTAAGAAGTGGGAGATTCCTACCATCTCCCTTTGTTCCCATCACCAGGTACAACTATTATTAACAGTGGCCCATATTTATTGTAGAAAATCTGGACAGTACTGAGGCCAATAGAAAATAGAAGCCACACATGGTCTTCCTCCCCAGATACAAACAGCTGCCTGCACAGTGCTGTGGACTACTCCCTGTGGGTCTGTGCTCTGGTGATTACTGTCCTGCGTGTACACCAGCCCACCAATTAGCTGCAGTTACCTTTGGGAGGAAAGAAACCAGCGGAGCCAATTTACCTTCATGGAAGGGGTCAAGTACCCCGGGTGAGGATGGAAAGAAAACGATCGATTCCGATGAGACACCGTGCTGGGGAAGGCTGCACAGTGAAACCGCCTCTCCTCCTGGAAAACCAACACAACTGAGTGCAGATGCGCTTCAGCACACAGCCCTGGGTCTCACTTGAAGGGAGGGGGCAGAATGGGAGAGAAGGGAAGTCTGCGGGGAGAAGGAGCAGGCAGTGGCAATCAAGCTGACACTTTGGGGGAGCCCCCTGCCCTGGGGCTCGATCTCCCAGCCCTTCCTGTGAAGGAGGGCAAGCTGGCAGAGACTTCCAAGGTGCGGCCACTAATCCTGACAAGCCAGCTTCAGTGCATGAAGAAACTGGACTGGTAACGTGTGTGACTGAGTGTGTCTCAGTGGGTCCTCTGTCCGTTCATCTCTTGCTCTGTCCCCCTGCTCTGCTTCCCAGGGCCATGAACTAGGCATCTCTGTTCCACCTCGTCCTCCTGCCATGATGCCCAGCCTCAGAACCAGCTGGCCACGGGCTGCAACTGCCAGCCAAGTTAAACCTCTCCTCCTTTAAGTAGCGGGCATCGGCTGTTCTGTCCGGGACACGGCAAGCTGACAAACACACAGGGTAAAGATCCAAGTGTTCTTAGCAACCAAAATTAAACTCTCATGCAGAAAGGTGAAGACTGAGGCAGAGAAAGAAACCCCCCAGATATGCAAGAGATTCCACCTTCTTTTGTCCCTACCACGCTGTAAAAAATATTTGTATCCTAGGTATTTTCTAACATGCACTAAGGTAGCGCATAAGATCCCTCTCCCATCTCAGCAACTGTAAGGGAGTGGCCCACTTGGGTTATGTGTGTCACCTTCCACCTTTCTCTCTGGTGTCACTTTTAAAGCATACCATGTAATTTCATCGGTAAAATCCTCAATATGTATTTCTAAGAGATTAAGGATTCTTTTTAAAAAATCACAACCTCAGGACCTTCCCCACACATTGGAGATGAGTAGTAATTCCTTACTAATACAATTTTGCATCAGTGGTCAAAATAACTTTCTCATGAAGGGATCTTGGAAGTAGCTTTGCTACTAGAAAACAAGTGCTCGTTTTTTTCTAATGGATCCATAAGTCAATAAAAATTGATTCTACTAAAATTCAAAAGCAAACCATTCCGTATTTTTCTCAAATCCTTCAGGTTAAAAAAACAAAACAAAACAAAACTGAACCAATAACATCAGGCAAGTGCCGTTGGGCTTGGAGGTAGAAAGTTTTTCTTTACTGTCTATCTACTTGCGTACACTTTTTAGTGAGTTTTTTTTTTCAATAAAAGAAAACAGGAAGGATTGTTCATCAGGCAGAATGGGGAGAGGGCCCTCTGAGGAAGGCCAGGGGCAAACGCTGCCCCTGGGAGGAGTGCTGCCCCCAAGCATGGCCGCAGAGCCCAGCGCGGGCTGCGTCTCCCCCAGGCCTCACCGTGAGCTGCTTGATGATCGCCTCGCGCTCCTTGAGGAGACTCTGCAGGCGGCCTATGAGCTGCAGGTCCTCGGGCCTGGACGCTGTCTTCCCTGGCTTCTCTCCGGAGTCCTTCAGTCTGCAAGGGCAGGCAGGGAGTTACTCAACGCGGAGGAGGAAGTGGGGAGCGATGGGGACCCAGAACCCCAGCTTCTAGTCTGACTTCTGTCATCTCCCTGGGGGCTGCAGGGACCCGGGAAACAGCCCAGCCCCGGTGTGCACAGAGCTTCCAGAGCCTCGGTGCGGATCTGGGGTCAGGCCCAGCAGCACGCGCCGCCGCCCAGGGGGCTGGAGGACTACAGCTCCGAAGACTGCTCTGTGGCCTTTTAATTATGTGACCTAGGGCACACATTTCACCCGCAGGGCCTTTGCATTTGCTGTTCCTGGCTCTTGCCGCTGTACTTAAGCATCACCTCCTCAGGGGACTTACTCACCCACCTGTCCCACCCTGTATCCTGAACCTATCTTCTGCTCTGAAGCTGTCTACTTTTTGTCTAAATCCGCATCTAGAATTCTAAGCACTATAAAAGCACAGTTTGGGATTTTTTTCCCTGGTATAACTCTAGACCTAGAACAGTACGTGGCACAAGTGGGTCCTTAGTAAAATTTGTTGAATGAATAAATAAGTGCATGTGCACACGGGCAAAGGAGCCTTGCTTTCTTTAACTGGCAGGGAGAACAACAGCTTCCATCTTGCAGCAACTTTGAGAGGATTAACTGTGGCAGCGTGTGCTACCACAGGCTTAGTATTTGTCGAAAAGCAGCTCTCTCGATTTCTTTGGAGCAGGAGGGGTAAACCACATCACAAACATGCTCATTCCCACACAGTCCCAGGGCTTGCCAGCCTCCTAAAATGACGAGTGACCAACAGCCCCCACTAGCTGGGCCTCAAGGCTTCCTGGGACTCGGGACTCTCCAAATGAAAGTTGGAAACCCCGGGGACACTGGGAAGAGTTGGCCACCCTCACAGACGGTGCCCCCATGCATCTCTGCCAAGCCAGGGCCCAGGCCTCACTCACTCGGCCTCCAGAGCGGCGAGCCGGGCCTGGAGCCGGGCCTGGGCACCACTGAAGTCGGCCGCCATGGCCTGCATCTCCTTCCGGTGCTCCTGGCGGAGCGTCTCCACTTCTCTGGCCCTCTGGGCTTGCTGACCCTCCTCCAGCAATCTGCAGGCCGGAAACAGCCAGGCTCAGGGACTCCTCTCCTCTCCTCTGCTCAGTGGCCAGGGTCTGGGAGACCGTGGGTCAGGGGAGGTTAGGAATCCAAGGTCAGGACACCCACGGAAGGACAGCTGGGGCCTCCAAGGTGTGGGTAAACCCCACTTGGGAACCCCTTCTCAGCCCCCTTTTCCCCCACATTCATGTAGGAGAAACCTGAGCAGGAGGGCAACCTTGAGGGGCGAAGGGACAGCAGACCTGGAGGGGAGGCCCCAACACCCGCCCTGCAGCAGGTGGAGAGACCTGGAGTTTGAACTCAGAGTTACTGATGTTGGGACCCTGAGCCTTGGGAGGTCCCAGTCCAGCGTCCAATAGGCAGGTGAGATGCAGTAGGAGAGCAGGATTTGGGGCCAGCTGTCTACACGCGTGGCCTCTCCAGCACTTCCTAGCTTGCAACCTTAGGCAGGCTGCCCTGCTCCACGGCCTCCCTGTTTTACGATGTATCTACTTTTAGGGCTGTTGCAAGGAGGAATTGTGTAACGCACATCTGCAACAGTCCATGGCAAAGTATGTGTTCAAGCACGAGCTGTCATTTATCTTACGTGGTGAGGCCCAACCTTCTCATCGGAGGACTTGGCCGGGTCTCACAGGGAGTGGCTAAGGGGCTGCCTCTCTGATGAGCTCAGACTGCTGTCTCTAGAGGGAGGCCCCACGACCTCTGTGACCTCTGTGCAGGGCAAGGCCTGAGCTACTTCACAGCCGGTGAGCTTGGGCAGGAAGTGGGGGCTGCTCCCCTCCCCGCCCTGTTCCTGCAGCAAAAGGAACCTAACTGACTGGGTGAGCAGCTCCAGTTAATGTTAGGAATGCAGATTCTAACTCCTGCTAATTTGAGCTAATTCTCTAGCTCTACCCCAGCCCTGCTGACTCAGAAGTGCTGGGGTAAGAGTCTACTCAGGTGCATCCAAGGCTTCCAAGTGCCTGCAGATATTTATTTATGGTGCTGGGAATCAAACCCAGGTCCTTGCACACGGTAGGCAAGTGTGCTGCCATTCACTACACCCACTCCCTGCTGGTGGATCCAATGCAAGCTGAAGTGTAAGAACCCTGACAGCAGACGATTCTTGGGTCAGTGCCGTGTGCCCAGCACTGTCCCAAACACGTCACCTCTTAATTCTCTCACCAACCTATGTAGGAGGCGCTGTTGTCCCCCACGCTCTGGGAACCCAGGCCTGGAGAGGTCAAGCACCTTGCCCAGAACATAACAGAGTGCAGACCCTGCCCTCCCTGTACCTACTGTGCAATGGGAGGCAGGTCACCTCCCAAAACTTTTCCAGTCATTTTACAGAATGGTTGTGAAAATTAAATGAACAAGCACAACCAAGCTCAAGGCAGGTTTCAACAGACACACTGGCAAATAACAGAGAAAAGGGGATCCCCTGGATATTAAAATGTGAGCAACTTTTTCCCCAAGCCCTGCAACATTTAGAAATTTAGATGAAGTACACAAAGCCTTGAAAGATACAAGCTGGTAAAGCTCATTGAAAAGAAATAAATATCCCAAGAAATCCTATGGCTAGTATGAAATTGAATTTGTAGTAAAAACTTTCCAACAAGGGAGAAATGAGACTGATTTCAGGATTGGGAAGATGTTAAATCCCACAGTAACCAAGAGTGGGACCATGCAGCTGTGGGGCAGGTGAGACCCCACTTCACAGACAGGATACAGGGCGGGAGGAGTCAGCTGACTTACCAAGCGTCACACTGCTAGTTAAGAGTGCATTCCACCCACACTCTGTCAGGCTGGATGTGAGGGGACCTTGGTGTCTCCCAGGTCCGCTTCCGGTCCGATATGCTTCCTGATGTGGAGGGAAGTCGGGCTTCCTCTTTTATTTCGAGGAAAATCCTTGTGGTTTGGGGGAGGGGGTGGAACTGAGATTTGGACCTGGGGCCTTCACACTGAGCTACCTCCTCAACCCTTGTTTACATTTCGTATTTTGAAACAGGATCTCGCTACACTGCCCAGGCTGAGCTGGAACATGGGATCCTCTTGTCTCAGCCTCCCAGAGTGCTTGGATTCCAGGCCCGTAGCCCTACTCCCAAATCCTCTGCAGTTTTAAGATATGGAATTCCCAGAGCGCTGGTACTTTTCCCGGGCCAAAGGAGCGACATCCTTCCTGAAGCGGGAGTGACAGAGCCAGGGGGAGGACGCACCTGCGCTGCTCGCGGAGCTGCCGCGCCTCCTGCTGGTGCTGCTCCACCTCTGCGCGCAGCCGCAGCACTGCGTCCCGGAGCTGCTCGTTCTCCTCGCGGAGTCCGCAGCCCTCGCCAGC